AGGAGGGCAGGATCGTGCTGCGGTTGCGCAGCCTGCGCGGCGACGCCGACCTGTACGTGTCGGACGGCACGCTGCACCCCAGCTTCGACGACTACGAGCTGCAGTCGGCCACGTGCGGCCAAGACGCTGTCGCTGTCCCGGCGCGCTTCCGGCGACCGGTGGGCATCGGCGTCTATGGGCACCCGTCCCACCTGGAGAGCCAGTTCGAGATGCGCGTGTACCTGGACGCCACCGCCGACCCACTGGGTGCTGCAGACACTCCGGCAGGGAGCCCGCAGCGCACGCCCGCGCCCGAGGACGGACCCCGGGACGACGAGTCGGTGCTCTGGACCCTGCTCTTCAGTGTCCTGAAGCTGGTCCTCGAGGTGCTGTTCTGACCTGGCCGTGTGCAGAGTCGCCTCGGCCTGAACGTGCCGTAGGTCTGGCAGGAGAGAAGGCCGGGCAGTTTGTGATGGCGGACACAGCAGGCACAATGTTGGTTTCCTTCAAAGATCCAAGTCCCCACACAGAGTGTGCACAATAAAATGTTTAAACTCCATGTTTAGTTTGTCAGGTGGCTAAAAGGAAAGACAACTGCAGTAACCCGGGTTTGCACAAAAGAAATCACTAGGCAACCCTGCAGTTCACGGATGAAATGGAAAGGGTGCTGACTTCATAATTCTTACTCCGGAGAGTTTGCATACAGCTCAAAGTGTAAGTTTAAGTTTTCTAATTAATAAAATTAGGTCAAAAAACGTACTGATATACTACCCCTTTCTGTGCATGGTCGAAGGCCCCACGCATACACCCCAGGTCTGGATCCATCTACTAGCCAGAGGGGAGTTCTTGGCTGGCAGGCATTTGTGAAATTTTTGTCCCTTTGCCCAGCGATGACAGTTCCAAGTCTAGCTCCAAGTCTCATGAGGCCATTGGTCTTTTATGTCATCATGGACTACCTATTAAAACTCTTCAGTTATTAAATAATTTGGTCATGCTACCTGTGGTAGGCCAGAAACAATAATGCAGATTAGTAAAGTTTCATTAAAATAAATTTCAGGATAATGGAGAAGTAGATCATTCAAATTGGATTGCTAACTATTTCTCCCAATTTTTTGAGACAGCTAAAGTACTAAAAGAAAAATCTTTTACAAGTAGGGAACCAGCACATGGTTATGTTGCTGGTCTCCCAAATATGACCACAGTTCAAATCCCAGACCCAGTGGCTTGAATCTCATTCCAAGAGAAGGGATTGTGGCCTCTCCAGCAAATGCATGTGCACCCTGTAGCAAAAATCTCTCAAAAAACAAATCTTTTTCAAGATGAAGTAGTTCTCTATGTGGAATAAGCTTCAAGGGTAAGAATCACTTAAAACAAATAAATCAACTTGCAGATGTTAAACTCATAGTTAATTTCAAAAATGTTTTATTGGCATAAAAATGAGAATATTGTAAATAAATTGGCACCAAATATTTCACTTAAATGCATATACAGTATTAGGGTCAAAAAAACTATTTTATCCCTCCTTGCTGTTTTTCCCCCTTCTGCCCACTTTCCTGGGTGTCGGGGGGGCTCGCTGACAACAGTCACAAATCCAGCGACCTAGGAGAAAAATTGTTAGTTAATACAGAATGGAATTTTATTTTCACAGGACTAAATTTTTATCCCATTTAAGCTGTCCTCCCATAACTACCACCGATACAGTCCCCTGTGGGTCTACAGTGCAAAGGATCCTAGGGAGCTCCTCAGTCAAGGAGAAAAGTGCAAACTTCCCTGAAGTAATGAACATTGTCTTCGGTGTGCGACACCCCATGGGAGTCCAAGGTAGGAGAAAAGCAACACAAGAGTCAGGGCCTTTTAGAGAGGTCAGTGGCACAAGTGAAGTCGTTGTCACAGATGGCTGTGTGTCAGCACCCGTGCTCTCCAGTCCTCGTAGACTGTGCTGATGGCACTTTAAAACTGCAGGTTTCTAAAACCCCACAGCTATAAACTGGACTGCACGCTTGAGCTGAATTTCTACGCACTTTACATAATTCGTTAAGTTGCTTCAGTCCCAGGAAATTTCATTCTAAGCGTATATTTTATAGAGTACCACACGTTGCTAACTCTTCTGATACGTTGTAGAATTACACATTTGTGTAATGTCTTAGTCTAATTCCTGTACTTTGTTCTTGGACTCTGTGTTCCTTCTAAAGTTATCTGGAATTGTACTGCCTCAATTTACGGAAATCTGGTTTAGTATATATAAAGACATAGCAGTCATGTTGTTTCTAAGAAGCTATGTAAAAATCAAAGCCTTGAAACGAATTGATGTGCTGTACAGCTACGCAGTGGAAAGATAAGCTCATTCTGAGTGTGAGCTATACTCACACCTTAGCCCAGGTGTCCCCGTATCTCCTTTTCCTTTAGTGGATTGTCTAGGGGAGAGACAGTGGACGTGACCTGGGTAACCAGCACTGGTCACGCTAAGCCCTTGATGCCATCACAGCGTTTACTACACAGTCCTTACAGAAACATTGGGAGACTCTCAGCACTCAAAGACAGTGTTTTGTTTTGTTTTTCTCTTAATCTTTACCTGATGGAATAGCACCAAGGCCCACACAAAAAGTATGGTAGCCTCTGTCACACACATCACAGAACATCATCTCTTCTTCGTGGTGGGGCTGTCCACACATAACACACGTTTTACACTCCATACATTGCCATGGGTAGGTCTTAATCATTGAAACAAGCTCCACGGTCATATCCAGGCAGGAAGGGTGGCCTAAACAAAACCAGTATTTAGGGTTTCACACACGATTTTTAACATGATGGGCACACAAAATACTAGTTTGCTTCAGGACCGCCCCAAAACGTCTATGCTTAAATACCAAAGGAAAATGCTGACATAATGTATAAGAAAGTGCATGGATTTCATCTACACCTCACAAGTTACCCTGCGCATCTGATGATTCTGTGGTGGAAGCCTAACTATAAACCCTAGTTTCTGAAGCAGCGATAGGGTGGGTAAGATGTTAAGAAGGCATTCGGTACTTACCACTGTTACCACACTGGGAGCAGTGTATAAGCGACTCAGCCTTTCCTCTCTTGTTGGACTCCTTACCCTTCAGACAAATTCCACATAGAGCACTGGGAATGACCTTTGGCTGGAAGGTAGAAGAGGGCTATAAATTCATGCCAGAAGAGCTGGCTATGGGATCAGAGGGACTGCTAACGTACTTTACCGGGCGACTTGCTAATGAGGCTCTTTTTGAAAGACATAACTTGACATGAGACAGCTTACAAGACAAAGATGGCCTACTGACGACAAGGCTTGAATTTCATTTTAAAGTTCTGTCAACAGCATGATCTCATGTTAAGATAAAACGAGACATTCTATACACCCTCCTGGAAGGAGGGACTAAATACAGGTCAGATGTCACTTTTAACTGGAAGAGAGAACCCAGGTGCCAAGTGACCGTGACACGTGCTAGTTGCCAGTTATATATTGATAAAGAGAAGACTAGGTTTTAAGCAGTTTATATAGTGACTGTTTAAAAACTGGTTATTTTCTAAAGTTGTAAAGCTATAAAATCTAAGGTAAAAATCAATGTCTTAACATTTTTCATTGGAAGGTGCCTCATGCATACGCGGTCGTACACATAAACGTGAAAACAGTTATGTGACGATATCTACAGGTCTTGTAAGGTAAAAGAACCTGTGCTGAAAAATGAGTTTTCAGATGAGCACAAAACCCTGTAGCTTTAAGATACATAAACACTTACTGAGTACAATGCATCTTTCAGATTAAAAATACGAGGGATCGTCACACAGTCCATGGAAATGGTGCATTATCAAAAAATTATGCTTGGATTTCAAACCTCTCTGCACAAAAATAAACCTGTATTTGAATTCCATTTTCCATGAACTCTTTGAAGTCTCCTCCTATGCAGTCAAAAGTGTTTGAATTGAAAACTACATGGCGACATGCAGACAGGGACAAAAGGTGTGCTGCACCTACACAAGGGCAGGGAGCGCACCCATACATCACCGTCTTGACACCACAAAGTAACACTCAACTCTGCCCCAGGTAAGCGGTGACACAGACTAGTCATACAGTAAATAACAGCGTAGGGAGAGAAGAACAGGCAAGGGCCAAGAATAAAACAGTGGCAGGGGCATATCTATCTGCTTGTCTGTCTGTCTATCAACAGGGAAAAAGAGTATTTTAAGAAGAACGGTTATATTTCTGTTTTCTTACAACCCAGCCAAATATGCCTTGTATTTCCCTTTCCTGAGTTACTGAACCAAAGAAGAACCTAAACAAGCTCAAACTCTGTAATCAGGGTTGCAGTTCTGAAATGTCTCACTGCCACCTTCACAACCTGTTAGGCCTACACAATTTGTTCTTAATTCTTTCAGTTTCTTTAATTTTTAAAATTCTCTTTCTTTCAAAAGATGACAGAGGCATTCAAAAAGAATTTTTGGCTTATTTATTTATAAAAAGTCAACTTTATACATAAATATAAAAACAGTAACTCTAAACAATCACAAATGTCTCTACAAAATAATAAATACCATGGAAGTTAAACATACATATAAACTTGACCGTGAGCTAGTCTACATCTCCTGTGTGTGTATTTTTATACCCTGCTCCCCCAACAACAGGACAGTGTCATGTGCTCGCACCTTTAAGTCTTAGAGGGTAGTTACCTTCTGTTGTTCTTGCTACATTCTAACATAAGGGTCTCATTGTGTACTCCCATACCTAAGTTAAAAATAACTAGAAGTGCACTTCTTTGATCCAAATTCTGGTTCAGGTATATCAAATCTGTAATTGCCATGATATACAGCAGAACGGTACCTCTCAATCTACCAAAACTAAGAAATCTCTTGGTTATGGTACCTGTATTAAATGTAAAAGACATACTCAGTACTTGTAGATTAAGTTAGATACTGGCATAAATTAGCACACAAACATCTTTCACTAAGTCGGGGAAGTAACATTAAACTCTAAAAAGAAAACTCACAGGATATCCTTTACAAAAGTCAAAAGGAATAAAACCAAGGCTAGTCATTCACATTCTAGAATAATTCAAGTTCTACAATCACTAAAATATACATTTAACACCTGCGATAAAAAGGACACCAAGAAGACTCTAGGTTTACTTTCTAAGCTTAACTCATGATATTTTGTTAAACCAGTTAAAATGTTCTTACCCAATAGTGTTCATCTTGATGAAAAGGGCGAGACAGGATGAGAAGGGGTGAGAGACAGAGCGTTGTGGCACTCTCTGAGGGCGCTACAGCTCGCTATACAGAAAGACTGCTCTTGCAAGCATCTGAGCTCTCGCAAGCAGCCCAAGCTGACAGCCAGGACTTCACACTGAACAGCAACCATGGCCTGGGGAGGCTAGTCTCTCAGCGGACTGCAGAGCTGAGGATGGAGGGAAGGGAGCAGAACGCCAAACTCCCTGAAGATCAGTGGGAGAGGACACTGTGTGTATTTGACTGAGACACTCAGTTCTACTTCCAAGAATTACAACAACATCAAAGTTCAGCTGTTGATAAGAAAATTAAAATATTCATTCTAATAGTTCTTAGATAAAAGGTTCGCAGTATACTGACTTCTCTGACTGGAAAACAGCCAAAGGTAAGTAAGACTTGCCTGGTGGCACTAGCAGTACAGACCCAAAAGTACACTTACAGGCCTGAATCCTAACAGTCTGCTTTATTTCAGGTTAATGTAACCTGAACGATACTGTCCTACAAATTAAAGGCAACCACTAGTGAATCTTATTAAGCAAGACATCAGATACATTATCATTTTTCTGAACTCCCATATTTTAAAACTGTGTGTGTGTGTGTGTGTGTGTGTATATATGTATATATATATATATGTAACCTTCAGCTTGAAGTACCCTAATATTTAGGCACATCTTGGCTTATTAATACTTTTCATAGAGAGGTTAACTTTTAATTAACATGTTCACATTAGTGTATGACACACAGAAACGAAACTGGTTGTCCCAATCTTTGAAATACCCAAAACATTTTTAGGTACTAAAAATGTTCACAGAAGGTTATAAAAACATTTGGTATATCAGACTCCTTTGAGTACTATTAATTTAGAGATCTTCTATATTAAGTTAATCATCGTGTTCAATAGCTCTTCGTTTTCAGCCTGTATTAAATATCTATTTCAAGATTCTCTTTTTTAACCCATTATTGTGTGAAAAATCTACTCAACACTGACAAGTCTCCATGACAGTGTGGTCCGAGCGCACTCCCATCTGAAGCTCTGACAGACCAGCAGCATACACGTTCATTCACGTAGACTGAGTTTCCGAAAGTATATCTTTGGAGTCCATTTGCTTTCAATTCATTAGTAAGCATTCATTTAAATCTTTAAAAGCATTAGACAAGCTATAAATGTAAAAACAAATATAAAATCACACAGCCATAGCCTTTGGCGCCCCCTTGGAAGCCTTAGCTCAATGAAGCTTAAAATTGCTTGCCATAGGCTGCAAAAACATGTTTTTAAGTCGATGACATAAAGGCATTTTCTAATAAAATATGGACTATAATTTCTTAGGTCACTTCCTTTTTTACTCCAAGAAAAGAAAATAACTGAGCTATGACAAAGTACTGTGGTTAGGCTGAGGGACAATGACTGACAGCTCACGTTGGCCTGTCCTCATGGGCTGTTCACCACAGTCCTGCCATATCACAACAAGGTGTTTTGCAATTTCACTCAGGAAAATCTCCTTGCCTTCGTTTGAAGCTTTCCTTCAATGTACCTTCCTAATCACAATAAAAAGTATACTTTTTAATACATTCCAAACGGAAAGTGGGTATTTTACAGTAGCCATCCAAATGTCAAACCGTGCAGCTAACTCTCCTCATAGGACAGTCTTCTGTCCCTAGCCACAAGGGAGGCTTCCGCTCCTTCCCTCCCCTTCCCTTCCAGAGGGGCAAGGGAGGAAACAGCAAGAACAATCACCAAGATTGCTGGCAACCTACTACTCACTCCAGGAAGAATGGATCAAAAAGTGAGTGAGTGAGTGTGAGTCCATATCACAGAACTGGCCATCGAGGTCATGCCAAGCCTCATGCTGTGAAGAGCAATCCTATTTCCTGTTCTAGAGTCGGCTAGATCTGGCAGGTGAACCAAGCAATCCTTAGATTAAACCCAGCTCTTTCTAAGGAAAGGCACTACGGAGACGCAGCCTAGCCTGAGGGCCATCCCATACCCTGCACAGTTCAGCAGAGCTACACCATGCTATGTCCTGGGGTCTTTCCACTGCAGACAGCCAGGTGCGAACATTCCTGCCTGGGAAATGAGGTTTTCAAAACCCATACTTGCCTGGTCATTATTAAAAGAAGAAAACCTCATAAATTGTACATACACAGAAAACAGAAGCTAAACCATAGCCAGAAGTGACAGAAAAGCCACCAGAGAAGGAAAGCAGAAGGAGGCCGAGCGCGCCCAGGACAGCGAGCGAGCCTGCCGAGTCAGAGCTGGGGCCCAGGGGAAAGGCGGTCACAGCACGGAGGCTGCTCAGGGGCTTTTTTCTTCTACCTTGTACCCAGGAACTGACTTGGACAGTACAGAGCGTTTGGAACCCTCTTTCCGAGCAGCAGCAGCAGCTTTGTCTTTGGGCTTCTGTCTTCCCTGCAGGGCGTCCTCCTGGCTGTCAGGTGGGCTTTCCCCTTCAGAGACATTGCCGGAGGAGCTGTCCTGGAACCGAGAGGCAAACACAGAGATTCCTTGGAATGAGGACAGACTGGAGTCCATATTCAGAAAGTTTTGGGTTTTTTTTAAGATTTTGCTATAGGGTGAGTGTGCTCACCAGAGAGACACAGATAAATAAAAAGATGTAAAGATAAATCATCCCACGGGGAATGGCCATGCCACAATCCCTTCTCTTGCACTCTCCTCCTGGAATTTTGGGGCACACACACCCAGTGCGATTTTTAGGCTGCCAAGTCTGAGACTGGAATCATGGTTGACCATGTGGGAGTTCAGTGCCTTAACTACCATGCTACCTGCTGGTCCCCAGGAAAACGTATCAGAGTTTCCTTAACTTAGAACTAAAAGATCATTCTAAAAAAGAAAACGTTCTCTGGTCAAGACAAAAGCAGGTCATTGTCAGAAATTACTTGTCTTTCTGATAAGTGCCATGCAGTCGACTAACTGCACGTGTCAGTGCTTTGTTAGCTCTGTCTCCAAGTCGGCTCCTGTGAGGCACCCAGCGTCAGCAGTGCTCTTCATGGCATGGGGGCGCTTGCCCCACAGATACGCTGTGAGAACAAGCATGGGTCTGCCCAGTGGCAACTCCTCAAAAAAGTCCTTCAAGGTCAGCCTTCACAGTACAGAGGCCGCACTGGAGCCATATGGGAAGGCCCTGCGTTCAGGTCCCGGGTCGCCCTCAGCGCTGGCTGGTGGGGAGCAGGAAGAGGGTCACGGCACCACGAGATCCTAAGAAGAATCCATGTGTGTACGTCTTTCACATGAGAGAAAGAAAGTATAGAAAAAAAGAATGTTCAAGCACACACATTTCTGAACTCGCCAGGGCCACACCCCCAACTACCTACAATAGTATTTGCCAATCTAAACGTCCCGAGGTTAAGACCTCAGGCCAGCCCACAATACAGATGAGCCTGTGCACCAGGCTCTGGGTCCCACGAGGCTGACCAAGGTTCAAGCCCCAGTCTCAGTGGCTTCAAAAGTAAAGCAGGCATGTGTGTCTGCATGCCCAAAATCCTGACAGGAGGGAGAAACAGAAGACAGGATTGCACCATGGCCATGCCCCACTGGGGAAGAGAAGAGGTTCCTCTCTCTCTCTCTCTCTCTCTCTCTCTCTCTCTCTCTCTGGCAAGCACATGTGCCCTCTGGCTATTAAAAAAACATCTAAAATAATGCAGGCAACTGACAAGCTATGACTTATAAAAAGCTTAAAACCTCAATATCTGGCAACTTAATTCATCTTAAAATTTAAAATTTTTAAATGAGAATAACGATTTTGGTACAGCAGATAGTGTAATGGTCACATCACTGGACGTGGACATAGTCGGACCACAGACCCAGCAGCATAAAACTCAACACCTGGCACTTGTGCATGCATGCCTGAGATCCTGAACGCAGAATGGAAGAGAAGGGATTGCAGCGTGGCCGTTCCCTCTGGGGGATGAATTCTCACTTTCTATCTCTCTGTCTCGGTCTCTCTGATGAGTATACATGCCCTATTGCAAAAATCTCTCTTAAAAGAAAAGATTAACAATTTGATATTCATATAAACCATGAAAACTAGTAAGTAAAAAAGTTGGTTAGCCATGCCAACCCTGAAAAATGCTCAAGACACTAGGAATCTGATTTCTCTTCTTTATCTTCTTTCTGCATGTGTGCTTAATATAGAGCAGACTCACACGCCCACAGAGACAACTGCCTTCTCGATCATACAGTAGGTTATAGTGGTTTTTTTTCTTTTTTTCTTTTTTTTTTTTTTTGGAGAGGTTTTTGCTATAGGGCACTGCTCGCCATAAAGACAGAGACAGACAGAAAGCGAGAAGTCATCTCCCGGGAGGCATGGCCACACCGCAATCCCTTCTCCACCATTCTCCTCTCAGGATCTTGGGCACACATGCACACGCGTCCAGCGTAAGTTTAAGCCACCAGGTCCAGGACTTGAACCACAGTCAACTACATGGGAGTCCAGTGACATAGCCATTACACTAACTGCTGTTTCCAAGTTAGTGTTTTTAAAAGCAGTATGCGCATTTTCTCACTTCACGAGGTAACCTTTGAATTGAGTCTCTATCCTGTAAAGGCAGTGGGTATCACCCATGCGCACAGAGATGTATATCTTGTTTCTCTGAGAAACACTGTTAAAACTCAGACAGGGCCAGCAGATAGTGTGGCGGTTAAGTTGCTGGATTCCCACATGGCCAATCGCAGTTTGAGTCCCAGGCCCAGTGGCTTGAAACTTATGCCAGGCACGTGCGCATGTGCCCAAGATCCCAGGAGAAGAAGGGAAGAGAGGGTGTTATGGCATGGACATCCCCCAAAAGGGGTGATTTCTCACATTCCCTCTCACTGTCTCTCTCTTCAGCAAATGCACAAGCCCTAAGGCAAAAACCTCTACAAAAAAAGAAAAAACTCAAATGGACATTTTTTTCTAATTAAACCTTTTTGGCCTCTCACTAAATCCTTAGGACAAAGTCTATTAGTGGATCTGCCAGATTTAATATCCAACTCTGTGAAAGTGCTTTTAAAGTGCTTCCCTAAAATGTTGGGTCCCCTCAGCACCGCCAGCCCAGCACCAAGCAGAAGAGCGGGCTGTCCGACTCGCTGCCTCACAGCCTGCCTTGCGCAGGCGTATGGTCAACTGTTGGGGCTGCTGCTGATGACAAGGACATGTGATGCCAGCTCACCACAGCCCGTCCACACAGCAGGCTGACTGCAGGAGCGCGTGGGACAGCCCGGTGCTTAAAGCCCTGCTCCAAAGAAAACCCCGTGCCATCAGTGGGATCAAAGCCCACCCACTGCCCACGGTCTTGGGACTGCACCTTCCTATGAAAAACGCCACACAAACAGAAGCATGGGATGAGTGCAGCCCCAGGCCGCCGTGTCAGAGACTGAAGGCGTCTACCTGCTGCTCTAAGCCACATCAACAGCAGGTGAGTGACTGAGTCAATGCTGCGCTCGCCGACCTGCCCACGATGACGACACAGGCCCAGCCTCAGATCCCAGACACACTGAAGGCCTTGCACGCTCAACTGTACCCACACAGTCACCGCCTTGCTCGGTGAGAGCTCCCTAAGTCCGACTGCAACGTCCAACTGTCCTTTCTTAAAGAGCGCAATGGCATGTCCCAAGAAATTGATCTGCACCGTCAAGAGGAAGGAGACGCTTCCTACCCCAACAAGCGCTCTTACAGAAGTGCCTTTGCTTTTCCTTTTCTCGTCCCCTCGCCCATCTTCGGCTTCATCCGAGTCACCATCGCTATCCAGAGCCGGGAGCTCGGGGTCCAGAGGGGGCTCGTACAGCGCTGTGTTCAACGGCAGGTACCGCAGTTCATCCGGCGAGTACCTACGACCGAGAAATTGCGTTCAGTGCTCTTTGTGAAGTTATTAAACTTCAAAGACTAACCTTCAAGCTACAAAGGTAACCTTGAACTTCTCGATTAACCCCAAATACTTTTTTTAATCGCCACAGGGCAGGTGAGCTCACCAGAGAGACAGAGAGAGGAAGCACTCCCCCAGGGGGCGTGGTCATACCATGGTCCCTTCTCCATCTCTGGATCTCTCCTGGACTCGAGCTCACATGCACATGTGCCTGCATAAACATGTTTTCAAGCCCCCCCCCCCAGGACTCAAACTGGGGTTGGCAGTGTGCAATCTGGGCTCACTCAACTGCTAAGCCACAATGCACATGCACTCACCAAAGAGAAAGAGAGGAGAGACCATCACCCGGGGCGAATGGCCACATGGCAAACCCTTCTCCATTCTCCTCCCAGGATTTTGGGTGTGCATATACACACAGCCGGTGTGATTTTTCAAGCCACCCATTTCAGGGCTCTAACCTCCATGGGCCAAGTAGGAGTTCAATGCCTTAGCCACCACACCCCCTGCTGGCCCCACCCCAATACTTTTTTTGTTTGGTTTTTTTTTTGGTTTTGTTTGGAGAGGTTTTTGCTATAGGGCGCATGCGCTCGCCAGACAGACAGAGAGAGAGAGAGGCAGAGGGGATGGTTCAGGGGAGATGGCCACGCCACAATCCCTTCTCCTCCATTTTCCTCTCAGGATCTTGGGCACGCACGCACACATGCCCGGCATGAGTTTAAGCCACCGGGTCCGGGACTCGAGCCGCAGTCGACTACGTGGGAGTCCAGCAACATAGCCATTACATTAACTGCTGGTCCCCCACCCCAATACTTTTTAAAAATGGTTACAGATCATTAATTTTTCATTTTAGTCATCAAGTGGAAGATAAGTAATAAACTAAGTCTAAACTTTTTTTTTACAAGATCAATCATGTCAAATATGCATTTGACACTCTTGGTCAGCAGGGGAGGGGAACTGCAGTCTGGCCAGGGTCCAGCTGCAGGCAACACCCTCAGCACTGTCCTCGGCCGTCACTGCTTCTTCTCTGGGTGGTCCTCTGTTCACACGATCAGAGGCTGCCCCAGAGCTGACATGAGGGTTAAGCCACAGCAGGGCATGGTATGTGACATTCCTTAAGACATACCTTAAATAAAATTCTAAATAACAACTTACTTTAAGCCCATTTGTAAAGCATGCATTCTGAGAGTTTTGAGCTGACCTATTTACATCTTCCATCAGCAAGAGAGCAACAGACAGCGCCCCTGACTGGGGCAGTCCCAGGTGGCCAGCCCGCCCCAGACCGAGAGCATGTACACACTGGCAGACTCGGGGAGGCACAGCCCTGGAATCTGCCCACGTGGGTTGGCCTCGCAGGGCACCTCGTTCTGCTGCTTACACCACCCAGCCCTGCCTGACAACGGGCAACCTAGTCTGAAACTAGAGACTGGCACCCCTCCCTGAACTCAGATGACGTGCACCTGCCAACAGGCCAGCTGCCACCTCCATTCTCTCCCTCCGGAGCCCTTGTTCATGTAAGGACCCAGGTCAGCAAGTCCCTCCGCTAAGACCTTTCTCCAGAAGCACAGGAGCTGCTGTGCTGGCATCACACTTCTAATACACTGATGACACAAAAACAAAAATAGATAAAAATGAAAATTTTTGGTCATGGTTGAAATTTGATTTTCTAGAGGTAAATAAGATTATTTACAATTCAATTCCCTAAAGAGTATTTTCTGCTCTAAAGAACATACGGTTCCAAAGCAAAGGCATAAGCTGACAAAGAGGCTTAGATGGTGAAAGAAAATTAAGCTGTTAGTCCTGTTTCTCCAAGCACAGGGCTGGGGGTAAAAGGAGGGCGTCTTCCAGGCACACAGATTGGGTAGCAAGTGAGCCGAGCTGGGGCAGCTTGAGTCCGCAGTGCCCCCCGCCCACTGCCCATGGCTGCAAAGGGCCCTCTCCTGAGCATCTGTGCAGACAGACAGGCCAGCAGGCTGAGTGCGTGAGTCTGCATTTGTGATACCTCCAAGTGACAGCACACAGGCTGGACCACAGAGTGGCCCATAGCCAGAGCGTCCAGCCACCTGTGGACCGAGACAGGGTAGGCGGAACTGGGCTCCAGCAGTGGACACCCAAATCCAGGTTGAAGGCTGTTCTCCAGCACCAAGAACCCTGACCCATCCTGGGATATTTATGGACCCTGTACCGTCAGGGCACAAGCCCGCCAGGCACCGAAACCCTCAGCCAACACTGCCGGGCACTGCACCCCGAGTACCTCTTGTAATATTCCTGGAACTGCCCAGGGATGAGGGCCACCGGGTACGAGCCGACCTTGGTCCGCTCCGTGGGCAGCACTCTGTACTTCCCCCGAGGGACCTGGATGACCTGCAGTGGCACAGAGAGACAGGCTGACCCTGCGCCCGGGTCAGGGCTTCAGGAGCACCGCCCGCACCATGTGCCCACCCCACGACAGCAAAGGGTGTCGGACAACTGGAGCTACAGGCTCAGAACAGCTGACACTTTCCAGCTCCACCGCAGGCCCGTGCCATGTTTTCTGTGAACAGTGTCCCCAAGCAGGGGCTGTGTGTCCCCTGCCACCACTGAGCAGCAACATGACCCAGGCAGTTCACGGACTCTCTGTGGCCCAAGTCCTCCATCTAATGAATGGAAATGACACTAGTTCCAGCCTGACGTGGAGGCCGTGAGCACTCAGGAACCCGTACAGAGCTCACGCTCAGCCACCCTGGCCACACCTGAGGACCAAGGACAGCTGTGGCTGGCTTCGCTCCAGGGACACCAACTAGCCTACGACACCATCTTGCCAGAAACAAAAAGCAACCGAGCACTAGGGCTTCATAACCCTGCTATTTTCAGGTGCCAGAGGAAGAGGACATGTTACAGCACTGCGACAGCCCAGTGCGCCGAGCCCCGCGAGCACTGGGCGAGCCGCATGTGAGTCGGAGCCACCCTACGTGTGTCTGCAAGTCGAAGTATGCTCTCCTCTCCTCCATGCGCTCCCGGTTCAGGCTGCTGTTGAACTCCGCGGCCTTCCTGGCAGCTCTCTTGATGTATTCAGGCACCTTGCTGGCCTCCACTCTCTGTGTGCTCTGCTGCTGCATTTGCTGAAACAAAGACACCACGCAGATGCTATGGACACGTTCCGACATCCTGAGCACCAGACACGGCCCCCACCACTCGCAGGCCGCACCCTCGCACGGTCCCCCACCACTCACGGAGTACTCCTTATAATGGTCCGTGATCCGCTGGCGCTCCTTCTCCTGGAGTATCACGGAATACTCGGCGTGCTTGGCGGGGTACTCTTTGATCATCAGATCAATCACTTCATCGCTGCGCAATGCGGTCAGGCCTGTTTTAACAGAAGACGGTAAAGCAGCTCCCTGAGAGTTTGCGCAAAACTCATTTTCAAAACTGGCCTCTCCGTCATTCGATGACTCTATGGCTAAAAGGTTGTCCGACAGTCAAAGCGAGATATCTTAATACATCTGAAAAGTGTAAAACTTGGTAACAGAAAGACTAGCAATTAAAAAGATAATCTTGCGGGACCAGCAGCTGGTGTAATGGCTATGTTGCTAGACATCCATGTGGCCGACCGAAGTGAGTCCCGGACCTGGTGGCTTAAAACTCACACCGGGCGCATGTGTGTGCGTGCCCAAGATCCCGAGAGGAGAATGGAGGAGAAGGGATTGCAGCGTGGTCATCCTCCCAGTCGGTGACTGCTCACTTTCTGTCTCTGTCTCTCTAGCAAGCACACACACCCTATAGCAAAAAACCTCTCTAAAAAAAAGATGATCTTGCGGGACCAGCAGATAGCATTAATGGTTTTGTCACTATAGACTCCCACAGTCAATCACTGTTTGAGTTCCGGAACCCAAGGCTTATAACTCACGCCAGGTGTGTGTACATGCGTGCCCAAAATCTAGAGAGGGTAATGGAGGAGAAGGGATTGTGGCATGGCCACCCCCCAGGGGAAGCAATTTTTCACTTTCTGTCTGTCTCTGGCGAGCGCACATGCTCTATAGCAAAAATGTCTTTAAAAAAAATAAGATCTTGCAAAGATATCAGGTTTTTTCAACCAAACGAGTATTTTTTTAGATTCAGTGGACTAGGAACACATACCCCTTTACCTAGGAACAATCTTAAATAGCAAGGCGCACTAACCACTAATAAATAAGACACACCCACTAACAGGTGACACGTCGGAAGTGCTGAAAAAGAGGCTTTCCACAGATCCAAGTCCTTGTCTTCAATCCCCATCCTCCAAGGGATGCTGTCCACCTGTACATGGTGCACATTGTCCCCGCACCTCACGGGCTGGGTGTTGGCAGCTGCTGCCACCAACCCCACAGACACATGTGGACAGACAGTGTGTTACATGAGCGTGCCAGGAAACTGCAAGTAAGGCACGGCTGTAACCATCCAGGCTGAAAATGCAGCCAACTGGCCACTGTGGAGCCGAGAGCCCACGCCTGCAAAAAGTCACTGAAATTCTGCATGCAACACAGCGCTCAGTGGTCTGCAAGCTATTATCAGAAAAGCATAACACACGTTATGAGCTTCATTCTCCTTTGCATTTTAGCCAGAGAGAACAATTCAGCATTGCAATAGTTCTATCGTACTGGTTTCTAGGCAAGTAGACACCCCTGCAGCGGCCAGTGGCACCCATGGAGAACTGGAGGAGCTGTCCCCGTTACCTAGAGTGCACTGCGTCTCTGTGATGACATTCAGCTCTCGAAGGTACAGTTTCTCCTTGTGGGACAAATCTCGTCGCTCTAAATCTCCAAAAAAAAAAGAAGAAAAAAAGACTATTAAAAATAGTGAAATGTAATGTATTTGTAAACCTTTGAAAAACTTTAAAAACTATTTTAAAAAATATATCACATGCCCAGAATACTGTTAAAGGGAAATACATAAAAATCTTAAGCATTCAAGAAATAAAATTCAGAGTAAAACTGAAAACTGAATAAGCCACGCGGCAAGGCGGGAAGGTAGCACAGCCACACTGAAGCCGTCAGGAACAGCCCACTCCAGCTGAGCCCCAGCATACACACAGACCGCGTTCCTGAGTCCAGGGTAGTGGCAAGGAATGCTGAATTCTTAGGTGGAAAGTGGCCGTTTCCTTTTTTAAAAAATTATATATATATATTTTTTTAATTTGCTATAGGGCACACACACACTCATCAGAAAGAGAGACAAAGGAAGGGAGGGAGAAAAAGCGGGAGGGAAGGAAAGTGAGAAAGCAAGTCACCAGGTCTGAGACGTGAACCTGGTTAGCCGTGTGGAAGTCCAGCACCCTAACCACCACCCCACCTGGCGGCCCAACTGACTGTTTTCTAACAGGTAATTCACCCTCCTCGCTTTGCTTTTAGCTCAGCCTCATAGGAGACGCTGCCGGGGGAGGCCAACATAGGGTCCAGACGCTAGGGAAGCCACACACACACGTGCACAGTCCACTGCGGGGAAGCGGGGTGCAACCTCTGCCGTCACCTGCAGTACCTGGGTACTTGCGTTTGAAGGAGGTCACGCCCAGGTACTCGCTGACCTGCTCCTGAAGCATGTAGTACTCGCCGGTCTCATCGGGGGGCCATTTGTACTCGATCAGATTTTCCGCAGGATAGTAACTGAACCTAAGTACAGAAACAAGTGCTAGGCCTCAAGTGTGGCTCTTAGGAAACTCTAGTCACTTTCACTGTGGTTTGAAGATGTCTCCCCCAAAATTCATGTGTTACAACGTGGTAAAAGTGCCAAGCGGGATTAAGAAGGGTCTCGGTGTCAGGTGGGATGCCCACTGGGTACTGGGGCACACAGAGGCACAGATGCCTGGTCCTTGTTCTGCACAAACTCTGGCAGGTGAAACCCCCTCCCTGTCAGCCACCAGAAGACGACCCTCACCACACGTAGCCCTCTGGACCTTCAAACTCCAAAAACGTGGACTGAATGAACCTCTGATCTTACAGATTACCCAAATGCAGGTTATTCCGTTATTAAGCAACGAGAATAGAATGGAACATTCATTTCTGAGGCTATTTTGAAAACTAATTAAATTGTCCACATTTAAGTGCCACTTTGACCACCATGACCGGATTTCATGTATACCAGAGAAAATCAGAAAACCAGAAGGAAGAGACACAATAATGTGAACTATCGAACCAAAAAAGTATACTGAAAATAAAATCTCGTATATAGCACAGGGGACAAAGGACCATGACGACGAAGAAGGAAGCGCCTTTAGATGAACGAACCCCAAGGCCAAGCAAGGGGCTGACACAGCTCTCAACTCTGCTCTTGTGCTTGAGGCCAACAGCTACGGACCCCACAGACAGGCAGAGCCTCCGCACTGTCCACAAACAGCAGGTCTCTGAACGCCTCCTTCAGCTGGACTCAGTCCTCATTACAACGCTTGCCACCCAGCCACGGCTGCTCCTTCTCTCGCTCCACTACACAGGGTCAACTACAGTCTGAAAGTACTAAACTGACTTTTATGCAGCCTGGTCTGAGATCTCGCACCATTTCACTCCATCCTGCCGGGATAGGAACCATCCTTCTGTCTAATGTGCCCGGGCCGTACACACTCACGGCCCTCTGGCCAGTTGGCAGGTGTCTCCATAAGCAGATGGACAAAATGTAGCAGTGTCTCCATAAGCAGATGGACAAAATGTAGCACAGCAAATGGGGGGTCGGTGCTGCCCACTTCCAGGCATCCACTGGGGATCTGGCATGTACCTGCTGTGGAGGAAGGGGACTGCTGTCTGTCCTCACACTCTCCACGAATCCCGCATCAAAGACTGGCTCATTTCCAGGTGCCACGGTACCGCAGACTGCACCCAGCTCGGCAAAGGCTGGAGAGGGCAGGGTCTGGGCCAGCTCAGCCTTAAAGTGGGAGTGGGACACTACACTATGCCTCTACCCACTTAAAAGTAACTGATGAGCAGTGTTTTCAAAACAGTGCTGGGACACTATATTCACATGCAAAAGTATGAGACTGGACCCTTATTTCACATTACACACAAAAATTAAAAGGGATCAGCAGCCTAAATATAAGAGCTAGCTGGAAAACTCTGAGAAGAAAATACAGGAATAAAAGCTACAAGCTTTCGGAGTTGGCAACAGGTTCCTAGATATGACACCACGAGGAACAAAAGAAAAAAAAGATCTGAACTTTCTCCATGGACACTATCAACAGAGTAAAAATACAACCCATGGAACAAAAGAAAATATTTGCAAATCATGTCTCTCACAAGGGATTGCTAGTCATAATACATAAAGAACTCCAACAATGAAAAAAACCCAGATTAAAAAAACAGCAAAGAACCTAAGTAGCCACTTCTCCAAAGACACACAAACTGCCAATTAGCCCATAAACCAGTGCTCAGCCTCAGCAGGCATCAGTAAATGCAAATCAGTGTCATTATGGCTTCACGCCTTCTAGGAAGACTACCAGCAAAACGCAGAATAACCAAGTGAAGGTGTAAAGAAACATTGGTGGGAAGAGAAAATGGTACAGCCACTGCAGCCTCTGTCCAGCCAAATGCCCGAAGGCAGAAAGACAGGACAGACGCAGCGGAAGGCACAGGACAGGGTCTGCCCGCACAGCAGTGTACATGTGACTGACAGCACAAGATTGCATGTCGTGTCCCCCAAAAACATGCATGAGACTTGGATGGAACAGAATTAGAGGAACTCAGTATCTTCAAGGTGTCCAAAGGCACCTATGTATTTTTACCACAACAAGTTTTCTTTTTCCTTGCACTCAGACAAGACCAACAGCGGTGTCACACTATGAAAAACGAAAAAAATGTTCTGCAATATTTAACACCTGCTTTGCCCAGGGCAGAGGTGGAGCAGAGCAGACTCAGAGTGTCACTGCTAGGACACCCGGATCGGAGTGTTGCTGCTAGGATGGAACTGAGATCAGAGGGTCACTGCTAGGACAGACCCGAGATCAGAGTGTTACTGCTAGAATGGACCGAGATCGGAGGATCACTGCTGGGACGGACCCGAGATCGGAGGATCACTGCTGGGGCAGACTCGAGATCGGAGGATCACTGCTGGGATAGACCCGAGATTGGAGGATCACTGCTGGGACGGACCCGAGACCGGAGGATCATTGCTGGGATGGACCCGAGATCGGAGGATCACTGCTGGGACGGACCCGAGACCAGAGGATCATTGCTGGGATAGACCCGAGATTGGAGGATCACTGCTGGGATAGACCCGAGATCGGAGGATCACTGCTGGGACGACCCCGAGATCGGAGTGTTACTGCTGGGATAGCCCTGAGATCGGGGTGTTACTGCTGGGACGACCCCGAAATCGGAGTGTTACTGCTAGGACGGCCACGAGATTGGGGTGTTACTGCTAGGACGGACCAAGGTCGGGGTGTTACTGCTGGGATGACCCCGAGATCGGGGTGTTACTGCTGGGACGGCCCCGAGATCGGAGTGTTACTGCTGGGACGGACCAAGGTCGGGGTGTTACTGCTGGGACGGACCGAGGTCGGGGTGTTACTGCTAGGACGGCCCCGAGATTGGGGTGTTACTGCTGGGACGGACCGAGGTCAGGGTGTTACTGCTAGGACGGACCGAGGTCGGGGTGTTATTGCTGGGACGGACCGAGATCGGGGTGTTACTGGGACAGATCGAGGTCGGGGTGTTACTGGGACAGACTGAGGTCAGGGTGTTACTGGGACAGACCGAGATTGGGGTGTTACTGCTAGGAAGTACCGAGATCGGGGTGTTACTGCTAGGACGGACCGAGGTCGGGGTGTTACTGCTGGGACGGACCGAGGTCGGGGTGTTACTGCTGGGACGGACCAAGATCGAGGTGTTACTGGTAGGACAGACCGAGGTCAGGGTGTTACTGGGACAGATCGAGGTCGGGGTGTTACTGGGACAGACCGAGATTGGGGTGTTACTGCTAGGAAGTACCGAGATCGGGGTGTTACTGCTAGGATGGACCGAGATTGGGGTGTTACTGCTAGGAAGTACCGAGATCGGGGTGTTACTGCTAGGATGGACCGAGATCGGGGTGTTACTGCTAGGAAGGACCGAGATCGGGGTGTTACTGCTAGGAAGTACCGAGATCGGAGTGTTACTGCTAGGACGGATCGAGGTCGGGGTGTTACTGCTAGGACGGACTGAGATTGAGGTGTTACTGCTAGGACGGACCGAGATCGGGGTGTTACTGCTAGGATGGACTGAGGTCGGGGTGTTACTGGGTCAGACTGAGATTGGGGTGTTACCACTGGGAGGGACCGAGGTCAGGTGTTACTGCTAGGACGTACCCGAGATCGGGGTGTTACTACTAGGATGGACAGAGGTCGGAGGGCGGACCGAGGTCGGGTGTTACTGCTAGGACGTACCCTAGGTCCTGACTCGAAGTCTCACAGCTCCTGGCACTGTCTCCAGAGCCCATTCGCCTCCTCTTGGATGGCTGGGTCCCATCGTTGGAGTTCTCTTCATTGTCATCCTACACATTTAAAAGACCCAGAAACAGGATTTGGAAAGAGGGTAAGAGGAACAATGATGTGTCTTCCTAGAGTTGGGCGAGTCTCAGGTTCAGTGCTTTCTGAGCATAACCAGGAACACAAATGCTAACTTATCCTTTAAGGGTCAAGAATTTGGCAGGAGCGAGACCTGGAACAGAAATAAAACTGACTTTCACTTTTATGGAAATAAAAAATGTTTCAATTGGCCTGCAAACCTAAATCCATTTCGGTTTCTCACCAACTGAGCATACACAGCCTTCTGCTCTCAGTACAAGAAGTTGCATCGCTGAAACGGAGCGAACCACTCCGCACGCTGGGGTGCCATTCCACTTGGAGAGCATTCTCGGGACTGACCTAAGGGGCACCTTGAGGTCCTCAGGCAGCGTAAGGGGGAACCGTGAGGGCGACAACCGGGCTACCAACACTAAGGGGCCATTTTCCTCCCGCCCCCGGGGACCTCGGCCCCCTCCCGGGCACACAGGCCGCAGAGCAGCCCCATTCCCAGATGAGGAAACTGACTCGTCCGCCCCGGAAGGCGGCTCC